AAAAATGATATTATTACGTTAAATTTTATTATTTTTTTGACATTCTACAACTGGTAACAAATCTTCAATACTTATGTCATTAATAACAAGTCAAATTATATTATTTAAAAGCACTCAGACTTATCGAGACCTTGTATAAAATATACAAGAAAAAAAGAATAGAAGGTAAGAGTGAGAGAGAAAATAAAACAAAAAGACATGTAGGTCGACGTATCGCAAATTTGAAGCAATTTAACCCGATCCTTAACAATCTCCATTACAACGTATTATCTTATTGTCACGTGAAAATGGAATAATGAAGACATCTGTAAAAAAAGATGACGGTGCACGTGTACCGTAATAAGAGATTCGAGTATCGATTATTATCACTTTCCAACAATTGAAACAATCAAGAATCAAATTTTATTCCGCGTTTTTTTCCTTTGTTCGTCATTTTGTTGTTCGTGAATTTATCAAACATCTGTTTCTGTTTAAAAATCAATTGGGAATTTTTCTTGACGAATTCTCATTCACGTATTTATTATCCGTGTAAATTTAGTTTGTACAGATTTACAATCTGTGAACGGGAAACGCAAGAGTTTCAGAAATGATCTTGCTAAATTTTTCTTTTAACGTAAGGCAAAGAAATACACAGGCAAGTGTATTGTAAAATGATTCCTCGTTGCATAATTCTAATTCTTAGACTTTTTGCTCGTGTGATTATTCGATCGTATTGCATTGACGTACCCGATGTTTTACATGGCGAGATCGATTAAAATGAAGCGGCATTGCAACCTGATCTTTAAATTTTAAATTAAAATTTTTAAAAATTCAAGTAATTAATTGTAATAACTTCAATTTGGAGCTATTGATCTGTGATATGTATATGTAAATGATTATAATTTATATGATATAATAAAAATAAATAGATCTATATGACTAAATAAAAATCGAACGCTTTAATTCGAAAATGAATTTTATCAAAGAATGTACTTCATAGTTCGATATTCATGTTTGATTCACTTTAGAGAGTAAATGTGTTTGAAAATTTAAGAAAGAAAAAGGAAAGTACAATTATTTACGATCGAATAAGAGTCATTACGAAACTGAACATAAAACCTATTTAGTAATAAATTTCTACTTTTAATTTCCAATCTTATGCACTTAAATTAAAAAAAAAGACAGAGAGAAAAAATCGAGGAAATTCTGAATGTCGAATATACAAACGTTCATTAGATTTATTAATTCAGTGGTTTCTCGAATGCACGTAACGTAAAAATTAAAATCGGCAAGGAAGAATATTTAATTCTCGATTATTCAATGAGTAACTTAGAGTTGTTTAAACATTGAAATGGGTACAAAAAGTATAGGATAATGCTTTTGAAGATAACTATTAGAATGACATTATCGTCTAAGCTAATTATGATTCACGATGATGAGATAGTCAATCGTTCATTACAACATTGTTTAAGTAACAAACGTGGGCCAATATACTAACTTCTACGACTCTTCTATATATGCATACACATGAATGTGAAAAAGTTCTTAACGATAATTAATTTGTAACAGGAATTTTAATGAATGTAACAAAATCACAAAAAACTTTTTGTTACTAATAGAAAGGATAAACAGTAAAGGAATATTTGACTCAGTTTTTTATTATTGCCTCACTTTAATCTATTATATTTTATATTATTCTTTGTTAGGAAGAATTAAAAACTAAAAATTAAAAATGTAGTTTCATCTCTCTCTTTCTTTCTTACATCTTTTCTACTATATCTTAGTTTTCCTAAATTTGTTATTTGAGCATTGTAATTTTTATAAGAATTAATCGTAATTTACCCTTTCTCTGACATATAAAAGTAATACCTCGTTATTTTATTTCATCGTTTTTTTTTCTCGCTGTGGTATCGGTTTGCTAATCTTTTTGACATAGATTTCTAACAATAAGCAAAATCTATCGTTATGCAAACCCAGTGACAACCGTTACCAAATACCACTAGATTTACGAGTTTTTCTCATGACAACGAAATATTTTATCTCATTCCTACCAATCACAATAATTACAAAGATTTAAAAATTCATTCAATGCTGTGTAATTTTCACATTTCAAGCACATTTTCACATTACAACTTTAGTTAATAACTGCAACTTTTTATTTCTGCAAATTGAAATTTATGTGTATTTTCATAAACACGGTAAACTTCGAGCAATTAATTTTCTACATTTTTTGCAATACTCATCGAATAATACAATCGCGATAAAATAAAACTACGAGTTGTCTTGAAATAAACTAATTTATTATAATATTAGGAATATTATAGTTTCTTGAAATTCCTAGATGAGAAAATATTAAACGAGTCTTTCCAAAACGTCCTCTTCCAATAGGCAAAAGATAGAATAATATGAATCGATTGAATATGATCGAAAAGAAATTGCAAATAAAATGTCGCGTTGGTCCTTAATGAATTAAGACGCACGAATAGAAGGATCTACAGAAATTGAGGACAAGAGAACGATCTGAAAGTTGCGAAGTGCAATAGTTCCATCGCTAGAAGGAGAAGAAGAAGAAAAAAAAAATGATCGACGGGTCGGATCGATTTCGATTTTGCTTTCACTGTTACAAACACGACGCCGTCGAACCGGGTCAAGTGTATTCAACAACTATTATAGCTTCTATGTTGCTCCGAATGTAAGTACCTCCGGAGTGCATACAAAGGAACTCAGAAATTACGTTGTTAGTAGTCCGCGACACGCGTCACCGTGGATCACAGAGTGGCTGCGATCGTCCGATCTGCGTCATTGATCAATGCTCCGAATGATGCGCCACTCAAAACAATTAGAGGATCACGTTTTTGGATAATGCACCCGGGTGAAACAAATACCGGGGATGAATTGAATCGGCATGGAAATCATTCAACCGATGCTATTAGAATGTATTAGTCTCTGGTATTATTATTGGTATTATTTGTTGCCACGTACACGCGCAATCAAAAATCTTAGGATAATTGTTAGAGTAGAGTATTTTAAGATATTTAAAAAAAAAAAAAAAGAAAAACTCCAAGGAAGTTTGAAATAATTAATACTTAAATTCCCGTATGTCTCAATTAAATGGGGATAAGTTTAGAGCAGGACTGATTAAATGAAACATTGGCTATTCCTTGTGCGCTTCATTCATCACTTGTGTATATTATAGTCTCAAGTTTTTAGAAAATTGCGACGAACAAATTCTGCACAGAACTCAGGCAATCAAATAAGTCTCTCTCGAATAAAATGATTGGCACATACTTTATATATCGATTTTTGTCACGAATCATCGATTTTCTTAAACGTATTCAGTCATTATATAAGATCTTTTTATCACAAGTAACGATATTCAGAAATGGAATCTAATTATTTCTTTGAAGTAACCGGAGATCATTTTTATTCGTCTAAACGTCTGTGTATAATTTAATTCGCGTAAAATCCGTTTATCCATTTTCTTTGCCTTTCCTATTTGTACTAAGTTTAACAAAGAACTCTTCATTTCTGTTTAAAAAACGCTATTTTCTTTCCTTGGAACTTTTTTAATTTTCTAATCTTCCACCTGATTTATTTAAAAAAAAAAACTATTGAATTTCATAAACCAATATTGAACTCTTTTAATCTTTTCCAAAAGAATCTACAAATAATCCTAAACGTTCAAATAGCAGTGCAAGTTGCTCCAAACTTTCCCTGCTCCACTTTATTAGACTTCCGGAAACTCCAATCCACGAAACTCTAACCTTCAAGTGAAAATGGCAAAAGAGAATAGAAGATCTTAAAATTCATCGAATGTCGTGTCAGAGGTGATCACGTTGAAAACCGTCGCTTTATTAAAAATTCTTGTCTATTAGCTTCGCTACGACTGTGGAGTCTGTCGAGAGCATTGAAAGGAACTCACAAATTACATTATTAGTACCCTCGAACACGCGTCACCATCGCTGGAGACGAGCGTTGACAATTTGTACGTCATCGATGAATGCCACTTATGTACCTTTTATGACACTTCTTTTACCCGTGGACAAAATTTTGTCAGATTTCACTAGGTAGTGTTCAAACATCGGATTAACGATAACACCGTAACTAAATTCACCGAGGAAAAATGGACGAAGATGAATTCAATTCAACTTCAAGTTTTAAAATTGAAAAAATATTGCATAATTTGCATAATTCTACATTAATTTATGTTACACAATTAAGCCATTTATGGAATTATCGCTGCTTTTAGTTTTCAGATCTTAAAAAGAAAATTCTGTTTCTTAATTGTTATGGATATGTGACTACTGTTAAATAGAATTAAAGAAAAAAAGATTTCTTGGTTTGTTCCACTAAATATCCACTTGATATTATTTTAATTGAATTTTAATTACCTCTTGAATAGTGAAATAAAATGACTGTTAGTAATTAAAATATATTTACATTGGATAATGATTGATACGAATCTTCATATTTGAGGTTTGGATATGTTTTAAATAGATTTATTCAGACAATAACTTGTAACTTTTAATCTATTATTCAGTTATTATTTAGTATTTTTCAGTTATTTTTTTGTATTTTAGTTATTACTAGAGTATGCGATTTAAAAACTAAAAATTATTTTAGAATAAATTTTTTAATTAATAATTATTTCATGAAGTAAAACAATTACAATTCCGTGAATCAGTCTCAATTTTCACAAAGCGATTCTTCTAACTTAATAAAACTCTGTTATTGGATTTGTACCAAGAATTATTTTAAAATGAATCTATATTAATATTATCATGAAACGAAGCTAAAAATTACGATTCTGTGAGCCAGTCTCAATTTTCACAAATCGATTTCGCTGTACCCACAACCCGGCAGCTCAACGCGCAGAAAATGTCAAAGAGGAAGTAGCAACATCACCAGCCAATAAACATACTATTCATACCACTCAACCCACGGCACACATGACACTCTGCCTCTTCATTCACCTAACTATATCAACAACAATTACTCTGAGAGTAAAATGAACAACTTACGTTTGTCCACCATTCAATACCAGGAAGAAAAGACATCAAGCAATTCGTCGTCCAGAAATTCTCGGCCAGCCACGAGGACGGCCTACTTCCAATTGAAAACAAAAAAAAAAAAAAAAGAAAAAAAGAAAAATTTCCTGACTTCTTCACCAAATTCAGTTTCTCACACTGTATATACGCAATCTTTAAATTCAAAAAAAAACCGCTATTTTTTTTTTTTTTTTAATATCTATCTTCAAAATTACCGCCAATCTTCAAATCCGATCAAAGTCAAAGATTAACTCGGATATAGAGATTTGACGTGGAATGAAAATGTTAAAAATTCTTCGGGTACATGTTTGATTGCCGAAATGAGTTCGAACGGTGAAAATCGCGGCTCTCAGACCCTGGAGAAGTGACGATTGCCGATGGGTCCGTTCTGCGCGCTGTCGAGCGCACTACTGCCAGGCCCGATCATCGCATCGGTGGCAACGTACCGGCTCGAAAATACGTGTATTCTAATACGCCAATCGGATCTAAGACCGTGACCGCCACGGGAACGCATTGAAAGCCAACGTGAGTGATAAGCCATCGGTGTAATCGTTTTTTGGTGGAATTTATCCGATTTCTACGAGATGCGAAAGAGAATTTTATCGGATTTTTTATCCGCATCCTGATTTTGTCGATTGAGCACTGAACTGATGATTAATAGGTGAACTTGTTGCGATGTATAATGAAAATTGTTTGACATATCAAATGAATTGGATTGTTGGTTTTGAGAAGAATGTAAAATATTTCATGGTTCTGTAGTATTGTAATGGATATTTTTCTAGTTTTCAGTAGATAATTTGATATTTTATGGTTTTTAGAGAATGGAGTGACTTCTAATTTTTGAGACTGGCAACGTTTAAAGTGTCGTTAGCACTTTTAGAAAAGGTACTTTTGAAAATTTGTAAAAAGAAATTTATTATATAGGAAATCTTATAATTCCGAAGTTTTATAAGAGAAATTTTGAGATTCAAGATAGGCAATTTTGAGATTTATGAAATTTGTAATTTTTGTGAACGTATCGTATAATTTTTAGAACAAATAATCTGTACCTCGTATTTTTTAAAAATAAAAAAATATAAATTTAAAAATTCACAGTAAGTAATTTGGCATGTTACACTATCAGAAAAAAATATAATTCAAAAATATTTAATTCTCCACTAAAAATAAATACATTTCTAAAATGTGTAATGAAATTACATATATAAATACGAATTCATAAAAAAAAAAAAACAAAATTTAGTAATTTATATTCTAGTAATCCTATATCGTCCTTATTCGTCTCTTAAAAATTCAAACCGGAGGTAAAATTGAAATTAATAACTCGATCCTAATCGTACACCGATGTTACGAAGTTATAAGATTATTTATGTGCCTTATCTCGGTTGCTCGGAGCAGAAGTAGCAGATTTCTGCAACTTTTCATCACGACGGGTGCCGCGAATCCTTGACACACATCATTATGCCGTTATTAAGGCAGGATAAGTACGTATAGCGGATTCGAAACGGATGGATTCGCCATTAATGGCGGTAAGTTGCGGAAGATTAACATATCACATACATTCATGGCTTTCTTTTTTCTTTATTCTTTTAACTAATTTTAATCAAAACTATACGTTTTACTTCTGTTTTCTTTAATTAAATTGTTTTTATATTCTTAAGCTTACATATTGCTTCTTTCGTTAATTTTCGAAAAAAGTAAAGTTACTACGCTTTACACTTCAACTGAGAATTTTCGACAATATTGAAGCATTGAGGAATCGATAAAACGTCCCAATATATATCTAATATTTACTTATTACTATATCTATTTATCATACTATCGTAATTTAAACTGTACATGATCAAGTGAAAATTAGTAAAAGAATTAGTCTGTCATTATTTATTATCTATCAGAAATAAAAACATAATTAAGATTTTAATATTTGAAATTTTTCCTGTATATTGAGATGAAGAGTACAGCTAAATTATTTTTTGACGTAATAACAATTGTTCTCAGAATTGTTTTTATTTCAATTATCCTTGAATAGCTAATAATAGCTAATATAGAGAAATCTAAATTTCTGATGCAATCAATAAAATAAAATCACGAAATATTTCAGGAAATATTTATTTAAATTAAAAATAAAGTTCAAAAAATATTTATATTTTATCTCTTAAACAATTATCTTAAATTAACTACAAGTCAAATAAGATGATACATATGTTATCACTAATTATCTTTCACTTTAGTAAATAAATATTACTCAACCCTGCCATTGTTTGTCTAATCTCATGGACAATTTTGAAGAATTATTGTTTTAAATTAAATAATTGATAATGTTACTTATTTTTTCTTTGCGATAAAAACCCTTGTATCAACAATTCCCTTTATCAAACAAGCCCCTTGTTTCTTCATCGTATCAGCTAATTTAAATAAACATGACATTTCAGTATTACAAACATTCTTTCGAATCTTCTAGAACAGTAGAGTGATGGATTTGTTGCACCGTTTACTTGTAAAACTAGGACATTGTGAAATTTGCTTCTAGGGACACTCTAGGCGTTTTTACCGATACATTGATTGATATGCACTCTTGTCAGAGAATAGTTATTTCAAAAATATATTGCGTATGTGGCCATCGATAAAAATGTTTAATGATTGGGGTATATAATCACATTAAAGATGTAGTATAATCTATGGTGATTATAGGAAAATTGACTATATTGCGCAAATTATGCAATAATTACTTTAATTAAGCTTTCTTTTTCTTCATTGTACTATATAATTTAATATTTGAAATAAAAATTATGCACGATTAAAAAATATTTACGGTGTTATTTGTTTGTAAATATTCGAAAGGAATATGGGAAAATTGTAAGATAAAATGAACAAAATAATGAAATGCTTATGAAAAGTAGCGTTATTTGTCTTTCGTGATCTAAGAAAATTAAGAACGTAACTTCTATTACCATTAAATGTTTGTAGGACATAAATAACACGTGACTGGAAGATTATTTCTTACTTAATGAATAATTAAAATGGGAAATTTGCTACAACATTCTTTATTATAAAAAAGTAGAATAAAATTCATGTGACACATCTTAATCACAAATATTATTTCAACTGGTATTATTCGATTTCATTTCTCAATAAAATTTAAATCACATTTGGATCGTGTCTATTTGAGGTAACGAGTAGTAATATTTTTTTAAATATATATAAAATATTTAGTAAAAATAAGATAAGAAATGAAGATAAGAATTAAGTTTTTTATGTAATACCATTTTTTTTTTTAAATACCTAGCTGTTGTCAAGAATCTTAAAAAAGTATTCCACCTGTGTAAAATTATAATGAATATATATATGTATATATAAATTATATATTTAATACGATACAAAATATAATAAATGTAAAACAATACTTGAAGATCTATTTTACCTCTAATATTCCATCTTCTGGTAGGTCAGAACAATGTACAGCATTTTGTACTTTGGTTTTCCCATACTTTGCTCGAAGAGTATCTGGCCTGATTTGTCGTGCAATATCCTATGGCATTATGTAAAAAGTAATAGAGCAACAAAAAGAAAAGCAGAAAAGGAAAAAATGTTTTATTATTTATTGATAATTACTGGATCCATAGGCCCACACAGTTTTCTAAATTCTCCTTGAACATCATATTTATCATCCTTATGTTTTATTTCCATAACAATACATGGTCCTGATTGTAGTTCCCCTACCATGGCCTAAAAATAAGATTATCATTAATTATATTTTAAAAGAAGGACTTACATTTTATAATTAAAAGACGTTATTCTAATCTAAATTTACTGCATAATCAGGAAGAACTCCCTTATAAACTTCTAAAAATTCTTCTGCGTCAAATGGGTTGACAAAAAATTTTTGTACAGCAGAGATAGTATAACCAGCTTTTTGCACATCATCAATAATATTTCCTGTGTTAATAACCAGCAAAGTATAAAATGGTACTTGTTGAAAAATGATTTATCACTTGAAAATATAATTTTCTATACCAGTTAATTTAGCTTGAACAGCATGTGGTTTAATAATACAGCAAGTACAATTCTCTAATGTTGCTGTATTTGCTGGTCCTTTTTTACTAGTTTTTGGATTAGGAAAGAAACATTGTAGTTCCTAAAAAAACCATAAGAAGAAAAAGAAGTAAAACAAAATATTTGTATCAGCTTTCTATATATATTAAATATATAATATATATTAAAAAATAACATACTTTTTCTGCCACTTCCTCGCTGTCAGAACCATACACTGCATTGTGAATACTATCTTTACCATAACATGCCCTAAGGGAGGATGGAGCTTTTGCAATAGCTTCGCTGGGATCTTCTGGTCCCATTAATTCTTGCCAATGTGTAATTGCGTGATCACCCAATAGTTCTAAAGCTACAATTGGACCCGAAGTGAGATAATTTACTATATACCTAATCAGAAATACAAAAAATAATATTTATACTCGAAATTTAAAAAGGTATGTAATAGGACATATCTTACGCTATAGTGGCTTCCTCTTTATCTTTATATAAATCTGTTGCCTGTTCTTGTGTTAATTTAACCATTTTAATATTGGCAACATGGAAATTAGAGGCAACTATGTACTTTAATATTTCTCCTAGTTTTCCAACAACAGTAGGTTTTATTATGGCAAATGTTCTAAAGTAGAAAGAAACTTCTGATAAATCATAATAAATATATAATACTCAAATATAATACAATCAAACATAATGTACTTTTGCATTTTTGTTTGTAATTTTGTTCGTGTAGTAGAATCTGCATAATCTGTTATTCTTATATTTCTTGAAAATATTGCTACAGTGGCACCTACATAAAAATCTTTTGCCTGAATTCCTTCGCATTTTGTTCTTCTTAAAAATGTTTTTCTAGTTTTTATATCAAACTAAAAATGAAAAAGATATACATAATCAAAATTACATTTTTTAAAATATTACAAATTAAAAATTTATATTAGACATACCAATTCAACAGTATTATCAAACGGATAGTAATAGAGATAAAACTTCTTTAAAATACAAGCTATTTTGTCGTACCATTCAGCTTCAAAGATATATTTTTCATTATGTTCCATCGACATTATTTCAGTCAAGTTTATTTACACGTCAAAACCTAAAAATCAAATCTATTAAATTATGAGGTTATGTTTCATATATGTTACCAACTTTACACTTTTACAAAATTATTTGCATAATACGTTTGTGTTATTATACACGTTACTATGGAAACTCATTTAGATTTCTAACACGTTTCTATAGCAACGTTTCTCAGCTGATTAATTACATGATATGTACTACAGTACATGATATGTACTGTATCTACATCTTAAGCAAATTTTAGTTGTATGTATATTATAATACATAAATGAAAGTTTAAAAACTATATTAATTTATGAAAGAAAGATATAATTTTCAAATGAAAAAATTTAATCAAATTTAATATAAATTATTCAATGTAATCATATATTAATGAAATTCTCAAAATAAATCACGAGGATTGCTTTCTATGCTTAGTAACTTTAATTTGATGTTGAAAAAAATTTTTTAAATAGAAAAATCCCGAAATTGGAGCATAGAAAGGCATTTTATTTACGCAACTCTAAAGATATTATTCATGCATTCATTTATAAATATTCAAAATACTAATTATTAAAAATTGCTGATAAGCATTAATAGTATTTTTCGTTGCATTCTGCATCAGATCCAGAAATATATTTCCACTATTTTAGTGGAAAGAGCATGGGCATTTTACAAACGCAACACTAATTGTAAAAAGAAACTGACACTATTGTGTTAATTTAAAAAGAATTTTCAATTGTTTGTGATAAATACGAATAACAACACAATAAAATTAGTTAAATTTTGCTCTTTAAGAATTTTAAACTATGAAAGATCATAAGTATAATCACGATATATTATAAATCGCAACACTATAAACAGCGATCATCATTATATCGCAACTCTAATGCAAAGCGAAATAAACATTCTATCACTAATTCAAAAAGAAATTAAACATCCATGGAAAACTTACTAACGCGGAATTTTAATAACTTCACAACTCTAATGCAACCCGTAATTCATTTTTCGAAACACTAATAAAAAACCGCGATTTGCCCAATATGATGGACCGATATCGGCAAAAAAAAAAAAATATTACTACAACATACTACAAATACTAAAAAAAAGCATAGTGACAAAGTAGTAACAAGAATGACTTTCCATGCTCTAGATAGATTTCCCATCCAGAAGATGATAAGCCATTTGATGCAGCCTTCTTCTTGGCAGTTTGCCGGGCCTCTTCTTTTCTTCGAGCGCGATGCCCGCTGAAACTTACATCTAGCTCGAGTCTTTCTAATCGCAAACTAAAAAATAACTTATAAAGATGAAATGAAAAAATAAATCGCGGAAGCTGACCCCAATACACATGAACGACCATCGATCATAGTGATCATTGTCCGTTTGCATGTGCGTGCTCGAGCAATACCTACACAAACGTTCGTTTCGGGACCTACTCGCGACCTACCCGCGACCGCGACCGCGAT